TTAAAGAACTGGTGCTGTGATTTTTTCACGTGTTTCGTTTTGTTTTTATATTCTATCGCACGAGCCGCGGCTCGCGGATTGCAGCGAATATGTCGTGATGGGCGTGAAACGGTAGACAGTATTGGGCACGAGGTATGCGATTATATGTTATTATTATGCAATATTGCAGGCTCGCAAACCGCATACGCGCAGAGACAACAACGATATAATATAAAAGTCACTTTAACACACGTGAATGCATATATATATATATATATATACTTGGGTACTATTCGCTCGTCGTCGACAGTTGTATTCGTTTGAACACGGTCGGGGCCTAATTAAGGATTTGTGCGCGATTCGCATGTATATAGAGGACTAAGATCGCTTATTCGCACCTCACGTCTGCCGTTATATTATTATATATTATACAGGTACACGAATTATAAATGTGTATATATATATGTGAGACTCTATATATGTACCAGAGTGTATATTATTATTATGATTACAAGTTGTATATGGGTGTAGGTACAAGACGTATATATATATATATTATATATATATATATGTACAATGTACGATAGATTGTATCCGGCGAATATTTTTTATCCCGGTTTGACCTTGGCGGCGCACATTTTTCTCTTCTTTTTAAATCGTCACCTGTGAAATTGAAAACACTTGTCCCCGGGCGTCGTCATTGTGTGCGCTCGCAGTAATAACACACTATATAGCCACTATAGGTAATATATATTATTGCACGCGTTATAGATGTTTCCATATCGATCCTGCCCCGCGTAAAGTAGGTATATAAAAGTGTGATATATATATATATAGACCCGGCTTATATTGTGTCCACACATATACATATAGTGGCATATGCGCCTCCCATAAGCTCATTATCTTTTCTATTAGCTCTTCGCTGCTGCTGTACATGGAGTTGCCGCCTTGGCCTGGTTTCGTTCGCATATGTATACATATACATTTGTATAATATAATATGCACATTATGTTATTATATTATTATTATTATTGTATAGTGCTCGATCGGTTCCTATTTCGTTTGTCGCCATTGTCGGTATAATATGTTTTTTCACTCGTATACACACACGCGCGCATTTGTATAGCTGCCCTAAAGTCGTAAAACGTAAATTACCTACCCACCGTCGCGCTCCGGGTACAGGAATAAGCGCAGAGCGTGAGCTCGGAAGAACGTATTACGCGCCGTTTCTCGACTAGCCGTCGGCACAACAATCTTATACGCAGGTCCACGACTACCGAACTGCAGGTTAGTATAATAGTCATCTGTATATGCACGCATAATACGAATTCCACGATACTCCTACACTTTCTTTACGCTGCAGCTCGTTGTTTGACCGCCTCTCCGGAAAGAATTAATTTTTTCTGAAAAAATCGACAGATACGCGCGTACCGCGTCATGTTATTACCGTATATTATTTAACTCGTCTACACGCGTTACGTTTTTCTATACGTTCCACGATTTCTGTGTACAATACATCAAACGCCAGAACTCCCACTGCTGCGGCCGAAGGTCAGGAAGGCAGGGGGCAAAAAAAAGAGAGTGATCGTGTGTGAGAGGAAGGGTAGGGAAAAGTGAGAACCTCATATATTATATTGTGTTCGAGCGCGGTTAACGCGCCGAGATGTCCGGGCGGCGGCGACGGGAAGTCGGAACCCGTCTGTGTAATAAAGGGTGTGTCAGACATAACCCCCATGAGAATTGGAAGCGACGTGACTGATGAGAATCTTTGAAACAAGATTCGAGAGGAATAAAAGACCTCTTTGTGAGTATTTGTGTGTGTGTGTGTGTGTGTGTGTGTGTGTGTGTGTGTGTGTGTGTGTGTGTGTGTGTGTGTGTGTGTTTAGTGTGTACAATGCTCTTTCGGCAGAGAGTTCGGCGTTTTTATATTATATTATATTATATAATATTATTTTATTATTATATTACGTGTCTCCGTGTTCGAGTAAAATCCAATACAATCCTCGTTTACAAATAGTGAATAATGCACTCATTTCCGACCATGTTGCACCACTCGGTTTTCGTTGTAATAGTATAAATTAATCGACGGTCGCCGCTGCACGTTGTCACTACATGGCACAGATCGAAAGCAACGAGACGGATTTATTTACACCATAGTCCGAGAAGAATGTGTAGATTAATGTATCGGAGTTTCAAAAATCCCACAGTACAGAATATAGAGTTACCCATATCGATGGTATCGCGCCCGAAACCATGATTTCCTCGCGGTGATCCGAGTGAGCGATAAAAACGGACTATCGGCCGCTTTCGGCGGATATAATATATAATGCGTGTCCGGCCGTGTCAACTTGTACTTATATATATATATATACGCATATTTAATAGGGCTGTAGGTGTATATATAACATAATACGTCATCTGTATATATATATATAGTAGCCGTTGTACGCATATATATAATATATATTATATGTTTATATACTGCATACCTACAGCGAGAAATGTATGTCCTCGGGTTGTTCGAGTGTTATCAATCTTTAAACACACTCGCACCGAGGTATAGGTATAGTTTAAATATTGAAAATATGACAAGCCTCTCCTCGCGCGTATAGAGTAACCCTCTTTTTCACCATAAATGTCAAAAGTACTGTTATACCGACTCGCCAAAGGAAAATATCCGTCATCCTGGGCGTTTTCTAAAGTCAACATAATATTTAAATACCCACTTATATATATATATAAATACATATGTATAAGATTGTACCCGTATTATTATTATATGTACAGAGATGAGGATAAACTGTGTGACGCGGTTTATCTCGTACGCACGTGATTTCCTGAATGTTATTACTTATTACGTACAATATATATATATAAGATATGTACTGCCATGTCGGTTGTTTATATACCTATTGAATCGTGGACATTCTATATTATTATATACTTGCCTACATTGACATGTCGAACGGATAACGAAAACACTCAATCACGGCGGCGCTGTAAGAGCTTTTGAAATAATTTTATCGTCTGCGGCATATTAATAATATTATTATTATGACGATGGCGATGATGACGACGACGACGACGACGACGACGACGACGATGGTTATCAATGGTAATGGAAAATTTATTTTTCTAACGACATATAATTACGAGTATATAGTCTATAAAACGCCATATGTCTGCGCGTATTTATCATACTACATAGTATTATAATACTTTATTAATGCAACGATGATAATCGTTAATCGTATAAAATATATATTAATGGCATAATATTATATCAGCTATATATATTATACTCGCCTATTTGCATACATTACGCCTATAACCGTATTTATTTGAATGAAATGCTATGACCACATTTCTTTTTACTCCTTAACTGCCACTTATCAATTTCACGAGGCAGCATATTGATATGAATCAATATGCATCCGTCCATAATAATAATAATGTATTCATAACAACGCGTATAATTCAGTATAATCGAATTCGACATAATAATAATATAATAATATATGTATTTACATTATGACGAAATTTTAAATAACATTATCAAATATATTATAATATATATATAGGTCCTTTAATTATTTTTAAGATTTCTTTTTCGCTTAAAATGTATAATAGTATATACAAATGACGTTCGTTTCTATGTCGAAATGCATAATATTCTTCTCTAAACCTGTCCGACCGAGATGTTAAATTACTTTTTATGGAGGTTCATTTTTTTTTTTTTTTTTTCTATTCCGTATATGGTTGTTATTGGGGTCTTGATTNTTTTTTTTTTTTTTTTTACTATTCCGTATATGGTTGTTATTGGGGTCTTGATTATCCAAAATAATGTAACTATGCACATTATTACATAATTGGCAACTTACCATACGTTTCTCGTATATACAGACAAGTATATTATATATTATGAAGACAGGCATCGGGGCGTGTGTACACATACGTGCTTTTATTTACTGCAGCACACAGGCGCCATGGGATTCAACCGCGGACTGTGTACCACTGTACCTATTATATTGATACAATTAACGAACATTGGAAATCAACGTCCCGCGTTTACGTAACGGTTACCTACCCAGGTTGTGTGCGTGAGCGCAAAAGAAATAGCCACAATAATACATGCTATTATGTAGGTTACCGCATCGTTATACATATGGATAATAATTGAAAATAAATTCGTTGGCGTTTAGTGTGCAGCGCTTGACAATAATTGAAAAGTTTATGCAATTATAAGAACTCGCGGTTACCGCAAGTGAGCTTTGGATTTATAGATTTACATTTTGATCGTTACCGCGGTATCCGTGTAAACGTTAGATTTTAAAGTAGGTAGGTATATACGAACGAAAAGGGCAAATAAATATAATATAATTGCATAAAATTATAACGATCGCGTTTCGTAATGAAAAACACGTTTACACCTATTATTATTGTAACACGCGGCTGCATGATCGTTATTAGCATATTATATTATATTATTACATCCGACAAAAAATGTATTTCAACTTTCAGTGAGAATTATGTTGATCTATGTATTATCGACTTACGAGTATATGATGTTATTATTATTGTTATAATCGTGTGTAGGTTACTCGACAAAGTGTAAAATACATAGGTACATAATATATTATGTATATAATATTCACATGTCACATATTATATTCACGATAATATGGTGGTGGCGATGTTATAATATATAGGCGTATACCTATATTATGTATAATTAAATACGTTAAAAGAATGTTTTTATAAAAAAGAAAATAACCCAATAATCATAATAACAAAACAACCGACATTGAGCGGCCCATTATCAAGTCGCGTACCTAACCATGAAAATCGTCTAACTTTTTTTCGATTTTTTTTTTTTAACGATCCACCAAGAAATGATTTATTTGTCAGTCATTACAACGCGGCTGGTCCTATATATATATATATATTCTGTACCTACCTGTTTGTTTTTGTTTATTATATAAAATAATAAATTACTCAACTATTATTTGTGTTTGTTTCAGGCATAGCAGCTATGATACACCACCAGAAGCAATCACAGCAGTCCATCCGAGTACCAAAGTCCATTTGCGACCTATCGGAAGACGTTCTCACGTCGGGAGTACAATTTCCAGGTGAGTCGGAAACGTTGAATAAAAAAAAAAACTTAATAACGTGTTTTTCTTGCCGGTCGGCAGGCCGGTGACTTGATCCACCTCCTCGACACATTTTAATAGTATAATATATAAATATATTGTATAGTGACAATAATTCTAGGACCCGGATGTTGCATTTATGACATTTGCATAATATTATATGCGACGCTTTCCCGCTGCAGCCAACGATTTGCCGGTTCTATATTATTCAACAAGAATCCAACACGCATAATAATATATAACAACATTTTTCCAAGTTTTTGGTTTTTATGACGATTTTTTTTTTTACAATTTTTGTACATTTGGCACGACTCATTTTCGTATGCATCGCGCGTAGGTATATACATGTTTTGTGAATGCAATTTCGTACATAAAATCTAATGACATTCAAAATAGAAAACAGAACTGGACATTTTATACCTAACCTGTATCGTGTACATAAATATACGCCTGCTATGCCCTGAATAATATATTTGTAGCCTCTTACTGTACCTAAAATATTATTGTGTCGATATATTTATCATATTTTTTTCTTCTTATAATAAATTAATTGTTACGGTACTTGAGGCCATTATTGATACCGGACCCACAATAATAATATAACAGTTAAATCAGCCAACACGACTGCAGTACAACTCACCGGTCTAGTACATGCACTTGAAAACGAATCGGGTGCAAAAAAAAAAAAACAAAGCATTAGCGCCCGTTTCAAAATAATTCTAAGTCAATATGCGCGGACGGATTTTAAGAAATGCAGTATGCACAATATTAATTGTATTCTTGTTTTATTATTATTACTATTGTGTATTCGGTTTACGCTTTATATCATATTTGTCGGCGGCGACGGAAATATTGTCGTTAATTCGACGGCGAGAGTAAAATAAATAACCCGCATCGTCGGGTATGGAGCGAGGAAGGAGAAGGGTCCTTTTTATTATTATTACGCCGTACAATATAATATGTGTACACTCGGGTGTCGTATATAGGGCGAGATGGAAGTAATAACAAAACTTCCTCGCAGCCTCCTTCGTCGGTGTTCGAAACGAGCGGGCACCGGAAACTGCGAATAAAAACATCGCACAGATGCGTTCGTATAATATTTCGCACGCGTCTAGCTCGGGATTATTTTCTAGATTTTTTACCACGACCTCCCGGTAAGCCGCAACGATATTATATTTAGCGATTTCCCGTCGTCCCGTCCCTGCAGCTGCATGGAGGGGAACACACGGCCTACTCTGTACATATTGCATACAGAGTGATTCGCCAGGCATGCACACCACCCATTGCTTTCCTAAATAATAACTTATGCTTTTTTTGGGATTTTCAAATATATACCTGACCATATTTTCAGATATACCTGCATTTGTCATACCATTTGAAGAATGTCCCTTGTCGGTAACAAACTTATTTTTTTCAAATGAGATCCAACCTTTTTTACCGTAAATAGCTTACCAGGTAATTTTTTTTGAAAAATGTGTACGATATAGATATATATATATAGTAGATACTCATACACCAAAATTTGAATTATTACAAATAATAAATTACTACTATAGTTTTAGAATCATTACGTTATACTCCTCATATTATTTTCCAACTACTATTATTGCATTTATATCATGGCTTATTATAACTATCGATAGTACACTGCAAGGTTATAACTCAACAACTACTCGTTCGAAGTTCAATATTTAATTACAACGACATTTGAAAAAAAGTCATCTGGTTAACAGGAAATAATGGGTGATTCTCATTTGAAAAAAAAAGTATTGTTATCTATCGCCACATGACACTCTCTTAAGTAGTATAAAAATCTAAGTATGTGAGAATATTGTCCTTGAGTATACTTGAAAATTCAAGAATTCAATATTAAAGGATAACCCGGGGATGAGCGTATGCTAGGTGAATCGCCCTGTATACTCTCGAGACTATATTCTCTTCGAAACGTCGACGACGATGCCACAAGATCGCGCGCGTTTCCATAAATGTATTTTATTGCCGGGCTTTAAAATGTTATTATCGTGACGTTTTGTGTTGGCGTGAGGTCGTCCGCGCGTCCATCGCACTTTTATCTATTTGTTTCCCGCGTGTTCCGTAATTATTGTTGTCGTTTAAAATGCGCCGTCGCCTGTGTGTTTCCATAACGATATTATTACTTTCTCCAAAATAAATAATAATAATAAAACCGTCAAACTCCTAAGTATATAAGATCCGAATCTACGCGAGGCCGTCACCGTGCCCGCGAAACGCGTTTGATGTCTTAATAACACACGCGCCCGGTAATGTGCGAAATCTTGCTGCAGTAAACCGTTTTTCCTTTTCATTTTACTACTCTAAAAACGTAGTAAAACAAGTGAAAAAAAAATTATATTATGTACCTACATTTTATTTGCCGATTTCAGATTGAAGTCGATTCGTTCCCACGTTAATTTAAAAGAAAACGATTTTAATTTTTTTCAATCATTTGTTTATCATATGCTATATTATTATACTATGGCACTTTCATCATACGGTTATTAAGACATATATAGTATCATATAAGTTATACGTTCTCACCCCCCGCCCGCCGGGATCGTATTCTTTATTTTTTTTCGAGATTTCTCGACACGTATACATACATATTTTATTATTATTTAGTATCATTCACTGCATATATAATTGGACTTAAAAAAATACTCCTTTACTGCAGTATATTGTCTTGTCTACTTATGCGCGCGGGTAGAGAGATTTCAACACAATTATTATTATATTATTATGATCGCGTGCACATGTATGGCACACGTATAATAATATGTACCTATGTATGAAAATGTCTTGAGATTCAAACAAGCTTATTAACAATTCGCTGCGTATTATATTGTGTTACAGGAGCCGTGGACCGACAGGGTAACGCAGTGATATTATGGGTCGAAGGACAGTCCGGACATAGTTCAGAAACCATGTCGGACGTGAATGCGGCAGAGCTCATTTTGTACTACGCGTCTCTGAGAAACAGGTAAACGTAATATCGGAAAGCCACAACACGTAAGAACCCTAGTATTATTGGTGTAGACGCTTAATGACCATGGGATATAACAGAAAACATTTCTAAGTTGAGGGAGGGGGTGTTTAAAAATCATATATAGGTGTACCCAATCGTTGACCAATTACAGATTAGAAGTGATCATTTATTAGTAAAAAATATTTTTCGTTTAAACCTCGAAAACCCCCTGTGCCCGTAACTTTAAAAATATACATATAAAACATGACGAGTGCTCACTTAACAACAGGTGCGTAGGTACCCTACTTACTCACTTTTTCCTGCGGACGTATCTATATTTATCGTTTATTTCATATGACATGTACGTTTTATTTATCGGTATCGTCCGTGTTTCGTAGCAGGAAAATAGTGAGGATAAATGATTATCAACATCATGTCGTATATTTTGATATAATAAACCTATATAGATAAAACTTTGATCGCATTAACATCTGCACTTGCGCGCTTAGAACGGTCGCAGAAGTAATTTGCCGGCGACACACGAGTCACATCGAATGCACATAGAAAATGCTCTTGAACGAAAACATTACCAATTACCATGATAATATTATGTTATATATTGTACAACCCAACGCGATGTGTATAATTAATAGCACTAGGCATGTACAAACGTATAATATTATATTATGTACAATGTATGTATCAATACCGTTGAAACAATCCGATTCGTCCTTGCAAGCAGCCGGCCGTGCGGTGACAGCGACTTGTGTTGTGGGTATATAATATTCTGCTTCACGCCATTGGATTATTCACTCGCATAACGATGACGGCAACAAATACGTGTACAATTTGATGTATAATAACGGCTTCTAAGACAATAATAAATATATATTTGTATAAGGCGATGGCCGTGTCGAAACGGCGGGCTGCAGCAGTACATACCAATCAAAATCTAATCAAGCAGCTAGGGGACACCGCGGCCGGATTGTTTTTCCTTTTCCATTTTAATAGAGTCGTGCTCGTTCGTGACCTACCCCGTGGACTTTTACTTTTAGTCGGACGGGCACGTCAACAAGCACGCCGCCGTGATATTATTACATTATACTAACACGAAAATCCGTAAATTATACCGTAATAAAAATAATAACTGCAATAATATTGGCCATTAAGTCGGGTCGGGGATACGATTGCTGCCCTCGCTAGTATCGTTCTAGGGGGCAGAACTCTGCTTTTCCACCGTAAACCAGGGTGTGAGGTGGAAAAAAGAAAAATGAATGGTTCAAGAGTGTACCTCTATATCTTTATGTATTGCAATGCAATTTTGTGTTATTGATACATGCAAGTATTTTAAACGTGTATCCTAAATGTTTAAACACGATTGTAATAAAAAATTATTAATATAATATTTTGTTAATGTTCTGCATTAATTTATGTGTGACAGATTTTATCTATATTTATAATTAAGATTGCAATTATCCTTATATCGAAATTTAATTAAGGTTTGATATTATATTTTTGCAGATGTTTAGTTGGTTGAAAAACAAGTAAAATAAAAATGTAGAATGATTAACTAATAACTTCTTTGAGGGAGAGGGGAAGTAGGCTCGCCTACGACACTTTCAAATTACCGGATTTATATATTAGATATATATATCTATTTATATATTATGTAGGTAAAAGTAGACGATTTAGTTGTAACTTAGGAATAAACAAAAAATATTACATTTATTGAATACATTTTCGATCATTATTCCAATGTGTTTATCACGTTATATCGTTTCGTATACATCTAGGTATTACAGGGTTATTTACAGAAATAAGCTGTTATTGAGTTAAATAAACTAATGCATAGTGTAACTTATACATTGTACAGATATATCGTATAGATTTTTTATTTACACCCGAAGTTATTTTATTTGCCTAAATATATCATTAACGTTTTTATAAATTAAGGGGATATTAAAGTAATTGGTAAATTTACCTATAAATGTAGAAAACTAGAAAATCTCCGCTCATCAATAAAACCACTTTATGAAGTTGAAATGAAAACGTAAAAAAATAAACCATGACATCCATAACTTAAGATTATTTTTAAATCTTACAATTTATTTATTTACATATTATTAATTATTTAATCAAGTCTCGGTTATTTTCCAGATAGTTATACATACATGAAAGTCTGTCTAAAGTAAATTTGCATTTAACGAATAATGATTACCAATAAAGAAAACATAATTTAATAATAACTGCATTGGAAATTAATTGCAGTTAGGTATCATTTTAATATTCATAAATTAATTAACCTAATTCGTTAATTAGGTATTACTTATTACGTAATGAATTTCTGGTGCCTAATAGTGGTTTTCGATATACTTCCTTGAAATTCACGTTAGGAAATTAAAATCTCGAGGGATCAAACCAATTAATTTTGTTCTTGTTTCGTCCAATATAATAATATGAATAAATAATATTATAGTATATAAAACACGACCCGTAGGAACAAGTTATTAATTTTTTTACGTAATTGCGCGCACCCGCAGTTCATGCTCTTGTTATTATGTTTTGCTCGCACGTCTACGTAATAATAATAATAACGGAATACATTTTTTTAATTATTCTCCGTTTTTAGAAACGAAAGGAACTCGTCGTTGACCATCTTGGTACACGAGAACAGCTGCACAAGCATAGAATTCGTCGATTGTGTGCTGGAACTGATAAAGGTAATAAACGTGACGGAGTCAATAATTTTTCATGCGCTACAATAGTTTTCATTATAATTATTGTTATTATTTTGCGCAGCATCAAGTTTCCGTGGACAAAGTGATTTTTTGCACGAAGCGACACGCAGAAGGAAACCGACTGAAGTACAGCCAAATTCGGGTGAGAAAACGTTTCAAGCGCATATACGCTCGTGGCGCATTTATAATAGGTAACAAACCTTTTTGATTTTACGTTTCGTTAATAACTTTCAGTGTTACGCCGTCAATTCGTACAACGGTCTCCTAGAGTTCTTTGAAGACAGTCAGATCCCGTCGGCTTGCGGCGGCCCGTACACACACAGCCAACTCGAATGGATTGATTTCTACAAGGTTTGTCGGCGTTGTTGGCCTATATTTACTTATATGAATTATGACTTATGGCTTTGAAGACTAAAATATTATCACGCATGCACACGAGCGCACACAAAACGGTCAATAAAAATCGCTCGAAGAAAAACGAAATTAATAACAACGATGTATTATTCAATGGAAAAGAGCGGTTAATTATCGTTATTGTGTACCATATTGTGCTTAGCGATAGTTCATCAGTGCTGCTTTATTTATTCTTTTTTTTTTTTTATAAGGAGTCGGAGAGGCTGACTTGTTTGAGTCAGACTGCCGGAAATCGACTCGTGACGGCCATCGCGGACATGGGAAACGTGCAACAAGAACGCAATGCAATATCCAAATTTTTGGACGACTCGGATATTAAAAATTTACTTCAAGACGCCAGACAGAGCATGGAAATACTGGAACAGCATGCTCGCTGGTTGAACGAAGACAGATTTGTGATGTATGTTTGATTTATAACGGCCGTAGATAAACGCTGGGAAAACTTACTGATAATTTATATGTGTATAGCTGACTAGTTAATACTTTATTGGATATTTAGGATGCAGGTAGTTTACAGTATTAGATAAATATATTATTTCGTATACGCATGTAATAATTTGTGTTGTATGATAATATTATAATTTAGAATATTATCTTCCACCGACCGTGTTAAAGTATACCCACATATTAATATATTATCCAGTCGTAAGGTTGTAAGCTTAACACGACCAAATTATATAATAATATAGGTTTTTTGTTTTTTCTAACCTATATAATACACACATATCATAAGAGTCGGAGTTTGGGGGAGAGGGGGTGAAAGTCCATAATAGTTTGTGATTGAAAGTGATATAATTTTTAATACATTTTGCCAATAATTTAATGTATAATTTAATTTGAAACATGGATTGACGTCAAATGGAGAGATGTTAAAGACTTTTGTCGGAATATAAGTTGTATGCAATCTGCATTTGTCTATAGTCTATACAATATTGTGTAACCAGATTCAATTGTTTACATTGTGTGCAGTTTTCTGAATTTTTAGTATTTTTTAAATATATTATTGAACAGAACAAAATGTATTTAAGGAAGAATGTTCTACTCAAACTACAGTAACACTATAGTTCAAATCCAGTTTTATAATATGAAACTGATTACCTATACCAAAATAATTTTTTTTTATTACATCTGTTATCGTGATTAATATAATATCGTATAAATCAAAATTATTAATGTTTTTTACTGAACGCGTATATTCAGATTTTCAATGAACTAAAAGCCAACAATAAGATATACTTGATATTATATTATTAACATCTGGTTCCTTACACAACTGCATACACGTTTTTTACTTACTATATTATAGTATCGTCGTAATAAAACGTTATGATGAAAACGATAAATACGTATTATTTCGTTCAACAAAAAACGATTTATTATTATTACCTACCATTATGTTGTTATTTGATTATAAAAAATAACAATAATTATATCAGATTATAAAGTTATTATTCGAGACTGGCTGACCAATTTTTAATTCATTTTTAATGTAAGGCCACCAATTTTAATTACCATGTCATAATGTGCCGGTTTCACTGGATATATTATGCTGTTGCTCTAATACGGCAGTCGATCAAATATCTTATTATATGTATTATTATAACTTTCTATATAATTTTTATTGTGAGTGTCCGATTCACGAGCGATATCAAAACAAAACAAATTGTAACTATAAACGCCATAAAACCAATTTAAATACCAAATTATACGACGATGTATGTTCTTCGTTTTTACTATTATCCGTTGTACCTACAGTCTACACGTGTCCTGCGGGTTTTAGTGCATTTAAAATGCTTTCGAGAATTTTCACTTATTTTTTTTTTTCTAAATAGTAAATACTGATTCTCACGTGTTTGTTTCTGGCCCATACAGGTCGAGTTTCGAGGACGTGAAGAAGTTCCACAGTGAAGTCGAGGGCGCCGCAGTCCGACTGGAAGAACTGCTATTGCAGAAGAAAAAGAAAATAATGCAAGCAGCCAGAGTCAACGCTTTGGAGGCCGAGACACACGAGGTAACCATTATTTCCCGTGATGATATTATGTATACATAATGTAGTGTATTTATGCCCGATAATAATATTAACGATGATAGTATAATAATATGCCTCGGTCGACTCGGGCGCGTGTTCGGATTTTCTCCAATAGTACCTACCTATTAATGTTTAATAGGGATAGCAATACAATTATTAATATTAAGTCCTCGAGGCCGCATTAAACACTATTCTTTCTAAGTCGTCGTTAAATATTTCAACAAAAATATCTCGCGTTTAAAATATGTTCAGAAGTATAGTTATTGGCAGGTATAGTTAGGCAGAAATTTGGAGGCAGGGGTTAGTTTAAAGAGAAGCGTAGCCCTCCAAAAGTCGTCCTAGCTCCACTAAAAACGACTAAAAAAAGTAATTTTACAATTAAAAATATTGTCCATATAAATAAATGTGAATAATTAAGAAATCCTACCCCTAATTGACTATTTAACTATTGAGAAAGCGATAGGACACCGATAGGAGGGTAGAACTTTTGGCCATCCAATTTAGAAATAATTGGCTAGGCATATAAATGAGTAATTAGGTATTCAAATTTTGAATTGAACATCTTATGGAGTTTAAAGTACAAAATAATTTCCAAATTTTCGACAATTTTCAAAATACTTACTTATTCACAAAATAAAAAAACTAAACATGTTTATAAAATGTATTATTATTTCTAATGAAATGTTAATCATGTGTCTTCAAGCGACGCGATAGCAATTTTTTATCGTAGGTAGGTATTTAAAGTTCGTACCCCTCCCCCTAATGATTTTACCCGATTTCCGTCCATGGGCACGACCGCGGTTACGGTCAATAAAGTCGCTCCGTGATGGCCGTTCGACGTGTGGACTGTAACGTCCTGTATCCGCAGTGTACATTATACTGCGGTTCGCAGTGCCTATCAGCCCGATCGGAAAAACCTCGTGACTATAATAGTGCTGTGGCGTATTATTCGTGTGTAGGAAGTGGAGGCCATTGTAATATATTAAAACTCACACACAACGTATCCACCACCTGCGGAAGAGGAGGAAGCAAAGTATAAACTCATTAGCTCGCGTATAAATATTTACCTGTCTGTATAAATTATGACGTATCCTTTCATAATATAATAATATAATATTTATTATGTACACTTTCACGCCACAGCGGTTAACGGCAGTGGCGATTTTGGATAGACGACTGCAGCACTGGATGAATAGACGCGTGTAGCACAGTTATATTACATTATACAATATGCATAATGTGATGTATTTAAACATTATGTAGATAGGAAGTCAGCCATTTCGGGGATAATATTTATCCAGATTACGCGTGTTTTAAAAAAAATAATTTTTTGTATCTATATCCGTGTAAAAACAATTTTGTATCGCTGCAGGTCCTCTCTTGGCTGACCAACAAAGGAGAACACGCGTTGGTTCAACACGCCGATTTGGCCAACAGTCTGCCGGCGATCCGGCAACAGGAACAAGACTTTGAGAAATTTTACTTCGTCTCCATGGTAAGCAACGGGATTGTCCAGTAGTTTTTTGTTTTTATTTTTATTTTCATCAGACATTTGCATGATAGATGATGAGAAAAAATAAAAAATAAAAAAAAATAGAAAATTTGTCGGAGTTTATCGATTGGTATTCAGTTAAAGTCTCATATATTATAGTAGTTTTCTTGTTTTTAAATTAAAATTTGACAAAAACGCAATGTGATATTTTTTTGATGATGGCGGCGTATAATTTAGTCATCTATTATGAACTAGATTAAGTAAAGTTCAGCTATAAAATAATAATTTTTCTGTTAAGCCCAAGAGCTTGTTGTTTTTTTGGTCTTTCATTTGTTATTTAATTTAGTATGATTGTAATTTATTTGAAACCTTTATTGTCTATTTAACTATTACTTTTTACAACTTATTATTGTTAATTCCAAGATTATTGTAATTTAACTAAAATTGATGTTACTCATCTTTGAAATTTAAATCAAATGAGTTATAACTTATAAATTATCAATGAGTGGTTTTTAAAGACATTTTATGGTATTGTAATCCACTTTTAAAATGACAGTATTTAAACTCAGTTATAACTTATTACCAATTTAGCAATGATTACTTGCCCAATCATTATTAATATTTTATTATTATTATTATTATTATTATTGCAATAATAGTAAATAATTATCTTGTCTGATTAAAGTTCTTTTCCTAATTATTCATTTATTGTACCCAGTTCCTTCTTTTCCAAACACTATGTTTAAATCTAATTCATTCTCAATATAATGTATGATGATAAATACTTAATTACCTACCTACTTGTCTTACAAATTGTAAAGTTTTAAGATTAAAGTTAAGCTTAATGTTAAAATACAAGATTTCGAATCAGTTATATTATAATATTATAGTGTTCTCATTATTTTCAAATACAAAATAATTATGATAAGACATTTAATCAGAGACTAAAACTGATATCATTGTGAATATACCGTACAGATTTTGCATGGGCTTAAATAGTAATAGTCGCTGTATGCACATAAACATAATATTATAATTGGAAAAAAACAAAAAATTCTAAACAACGCTTGATGCACGTGATGTCACAAAGAGCTGCAACCAAATATACATCCAGTTGTTTGCTGGTAGTATATACAGTGGTAAATCTAGGCGCTTATTTTTCTACCTCTGCTGTAACAATATTTTAACACTGCATTTAAAATCTATCACATATTAACGCTTTTAAATAGAATACGTTCCGTAAAATATGTTAGCTTACTAATTATTGTACAACAATATCAATGATATTATATTGTGTTATACTGTATATTGTATTTTATTATTGTAAATTGTGATATTTTGAGGTTTGAAACAACGATTGCCGATAGTCTTGGAAGTTTCTGATGGATATTATTTCATTTTATGACTGGTCTCGTAAACGTTGAGATTTGGTTACGTCAAGCAGTGCATATTATTATCATCCCAGTGGTGTCCATACAAAGACCCCATTGTAGTCTGACATTTTTCTTTTCGCGGGTAGGGCCAAAGTTATTAGGTCCTTTTCATTTTGACACTGCGCGCACCCAAGGCTGATCTTAACGACTGCCGCCGAAGATTTCAATCGAAGAAACCATCGGTATTCTCGGAATATTTACGATCGATTTTATTATTATTATTTATTTTTTTTGTTATTGACAATTGCTCACGGGGGATGCTGAAAAAAAACCACCCCCTTTACAGTGGAAATATGTGTACGCGCCGTGCGTATTATTAATAATACATACCGACATGCATTTCATATAATATTACACACTCGTTCGGGCGACTCTCGACATGACGAGACTCTCTGCACCACTACCTGTGCGGCTGCACCTTATCGTGCTCGCACCCCCCCGAGAGTATGCACACTCGGCCAGTTTTTAACTAACCGACTGGCGCCGTCCGGAGGTTGGGAACACCGGGGCGGGCGGTCGTGGCGTGTGGGGGGTGGGCTGAGTGGCGGCGGGTATCCTTCATCTGTAGCGGCGTAGTGGTCGGGCTCGGGTATCCTGTCGGGCGCGGGGTTGAATGCAGTGCGATCGCGGCGTCCGATACGAACGGTACCCTCCCGACGACGGTGAAAATTTACTGCGTTCTCGTCCGAGATCTCAGGTAAGTCTGCATTTTGTAGTATCCCCTCCGACGGCGATCACCCATGAATTTTTCGTACATTTGTCTTTGCTTCGTTTTATTATTATTATTATTTTTTTTTTTTTATCGTTCAACCCATTTAACGCGTCGACTGTTACGAGTATATACTATTTAATTATTGCACTCCATGTTGTATGCGGAACGTCACGCGTCAGATGTATATATTTTTTGTACCGCGTAAAAGGCTGTTCGATTTTTCGTTTGCTTCCCCTGCAGGTTGCGCCGGTGGGTCATATATATATACTCATATTATAGTCTATCGACCGTGGTGAATGGTATGAAATTATATGAATAAACAAAAAAAAATATTATATGGACGTTGTGGTCTTAGCGCTTCCACCTGTAAGTATAATAGTATACGTACCTATGCAGTGTGCCAGTGATGCTCCTTATTTCATTATTATATGTTATTATGATGTTCTCGTGTTATACGAACTCGGTCCCTCTGCGGTGTATAGGCATCGCGGCGGGTTCTTTGAAACCATTACAGGTATAATCATCGGCTGAACTTCTCGTATTGTAACAATTATACATTTACGTATATAATTTGTGCGATCCCAGCGTATCGGTGATTATTCCGTAGTGCGATAATTTTCAAATTTAATTTTATAACATGTATACATATGTTATTATGAGTATAGGTAAAAACGATGACCGTATGTGCAACTATACAATAGTAATAATTATTGCACTATCATAGATAACATATAACATATATAGCTAAGGGATATTTCTATACCATACATACCCCAATAGATACTGCAGTGATCGAAGAATAGATCATTGACTAAACACCATAGTCGTTAATGAGAACATTTCTTCCATTCCGTATTTTGAATTTAATACATTTCATACCAATTAATTTCAATATTATTTTTTGTTATTGTATAATGACTACCTATTTGTCACAATACCGTGTTTCAAAGTCATATATACGTATTATATATATATATTATTATTTAATATTATCGGCGGTAAAAGGATACCGCACAACCTTAACCGTATGTGACGACTCCGACTCATACGTTTTAAAGTGGTAACTACGGTATATTGTGCTCTTCGATCGCACTGGAATACAATGCATGTCCTGTCCGTGCGTATACCTATGTATATTATTACCTCCTATAAAGTAGTTTCCGACAAAATGTGAAGAAACGATGAGCGACGTGAGGATAGAGCTGCTCCTCGTGAATAACTCAAGGAAACCTAGAATATTTTATAGTGGCCATATTGTCGACGTTGTCGTTCGGTTGTGACGAGGATCGTAAAATTATAATGCATCGCACGCGCGGCGGAGCGTTCGTTCGTGCAGGTGCCCGCTCGGGGAACGGATGCGGCTCTATACGCGATTATTAGGGGCGGCGTCGCTTACTCGTGATTTTCTCCGGCGTGTTTCGCGCCACCCGTGCCGCGTGCTGCGACACATGCCCCGGACAGATGTGTTTTGAAGCCGACCGGCGGCGGTGGCGACACGGCGGTGTTCGCGCCATGTGGACATGTGGTTGTAATCGGTGACTCGGGGACGTGCGATTAGTGTGCAACCCCACCCGTCGATGTACGGGTAGGTCGAGCGGATGCTGCATCGCTCGTGTGATGGCTACCATAATATACGGAAAAGGATAAGAGGCAAACGAACGAATTCGGCACCGAGGACGCTCGTGTGCGGTATAAGATATTTAGGTACGAGTAATACACACAATATTATGCATAATAACAAAAGTGACGTGTACAGATATTGTATAGGTATAAAATATTTTGATGGTGTTGCCCGCGCAACAGGTGAAGATCGTGTCAAAAGTAAACGCCGTTTTCCAAAAAATAATAATAATAGTAATAACAATAACAACCCATATGGCGTGTTTTTTTTTCGTCCACTCGTTAAATATAAATAAATTATTCACCTAAAACACAGACTTTTAGGTTAGGGGTCCGTATAGAAAGAACCTACCCGAGAATAAGCAATAATACTCATCAGACTCTCGACAGCCCGCGCAGGCCGATTATTATTCTGTGGCGCATAATTGTTATTTTTCTATACGGTTAGCTGTGTATTGTACACGTAATTAAACACATCCCTCGTGTGCATTATACGTCTGAGCAACGCGTGTTTAGTATAATTTTTACCCCATTGTCGAATATAAGGGATGTATGACATTTTGGCAGCAGCTGTTGGTGATTGATATATACGCTATATGTACCTACCTACCTACCTAAACAAACGAGCGCATTTGATGCACGTCGAGGCATGGTTTACTGTGGATGAGGAGCGGGGCTTGAAGAGGGTGATCTAAGGTTACTGCAACCACCCACCCACCGGATTTTCAGACATCCTTTTTTCATTTTTTTCAATACAAAACTCATTATTATATATTTATGTAAAAGAAATTCTTTTCCTCGTTTTTAGGCTAAGCATAATACTTGTTCATACTATGTGTATAAAAAAAACAACATCACATTTGATAAATTTTAGATAAATTTAGAAACGTGCTAATCACCAATCAGTCGCAGTAATAGTAGTACCTACTGTTTTTAATAGCTCATTAAATAAATTCATATTTACTAACCTATAAACCTAATAATTTGTTGACGTGGAAATGTGAAGGGAGCGAAGTTTCGAAAAATAAAAACTATAACTATGTTTATCTAAAACAAAATCATTTGAACATAATACACAATATAATATACCTATTACAAAATACCTACATGACTACACTCATAATGTATATGCAATAGACGTAGAGCGTTAAAATTGTTATGTTTGTCATAAGAATTTAACTGTGTTTAAACAATAAGTAAAAACCGTTTATATTTACCGGTGGTTTCGACTTATCAGT